GATAATGTGTGTCCCTCATTACGGAAGTCAATCCAAAAATTTGCAGCTCATGCACATATAAAACAATACAATGGAGTGACAATGTGGCCAAAAATTAAAAGTGGTACTCAATCAATTATTAAATTGGTTTAGAGTTAAAATTTTACATGAAAGAGTATTCTCTACTGCTTATGGTTCTGCTCTTTATATCATAACACAGCGTTTATGGTAAGTCTCTGCCCCTGACTTCCATACTGCCAAATATTGAGTAAATGAACCGTTTAAAGAATAATGGGTAATTCTGCAAGCCAGTGTGTCAGACATTAGACTAAATACTTGTCACTTTGAGGGGAGAATCAGTCAGTTGGTGTGTGGGAGTCCCCAAGGAAAGAATCAGGCAGGAGATCTTGTAGCAAGACCAAGCCATTACCATAACAAGCCTTTGTACCTATTACCAGATGAGACATGAAGCCATGCAGCTGCAGTGTTACAGTTCTACCTGAAAAAACATTCATAATGAATGCATGAACTTCATTATGAATCACTTCTTCCACCAAAGCAGAGAGAAACATAGCAATCTGATCCTTCATGAGATTTTAACCTTTCACTAGAAATTGAAACAGAACTGACATTAGGAAAGGAGTCTTGGGTACCTGTTTCATGTATAACAGACTACAACATTCAATTTCATAGTTATTAAAATAGCCTACGATTCTTCAAAACATATATCATGCCGAGAATGATTATGCTGAAATCGTACCCAGACATTTAATTAGATATATTACTTGTTGGTATGGCCACCTCTCTGCCTTGTACCACAGAGACATTAACAAATTACAGTGATGTGTATCTGAACTACTGCACTGCTGAAAGATTGCAAGCTGGTGTACATTCAGCATTATGTCTGCAATTCTAGAAACTGGGACGTGCACTCACAGGCACTTACATTCACATGTATCTACAATAGTTTTTCAAAACACTCTTTTAAAACTGTATATATACATTCTGAGTAATTTTCACATATACTTAAGATACTTGTACATATACATGTTCAAATACAGATATGAACACATTGAACAGAGGTTTCTTGTGTAATGCCATGGCCATGATGAAGTCAAATAAAGCAGATGAGGATGTTAGCAGCCAGCTCCTGTATCGCATGCACAAATACAAACACCATATCACCTAAGATCTCCATTCAAATAAATACTGGATCAGCATACAAACTTAAGACACGAATGTAAGTTGCAGAACAAGTTCATGAGCAGAATTATCCAAATTAGACTGAGAACTACAATATGGACCAAATTTAGTAGATAACAATCTCAATATTGGGCTAGCATGCTGAAGCCCGAGAACTAAATTTGAAACTATGAGGATGGTAGTGGGAAATATATACAATTAGAACTAAAGTGAAACATAAAATACAGTACACATATTACTTTCTCATACAGATTCCTTGCTATAATTTAGTGCACTGTATCATTCTTATGTCAGACATGTTATATTTTTAAGCTACTTCCAATTTAGTAATAGTATACTGTATTATGAAACCTGCAATTACAACTTAACCATAACAAAATTCATTATATAAAACAATACTCTTATTTATGACAATTTTAAGTTTAGCTGAAGAAAGAACACAGGCTACAGAAATAATACATCTTTATATATAATAACAAGGGAAACAAAACAAATATTCTGAAACCTTCTAATGACAAAACACATAATTTATAACCAATCAGATGTCTCCTCAATCCTTGCTTCTATCTGTATGCATCTCTTATGCATTTAATGCGTCTGGTAGTTTCCCAGTTCTATGAAACTTTTATATAATGTGCCTCATTTCTAATTTCAAAATCCATGTGACTAGGATTTTAAAATGTTTTAATCTTTCATATACAATCCTCAGTAGGGAACATCTGATCCAGTAAACGGCTATCAAATCAGTCTGTTCAATGTAAATTTAAGAGATGGGTAAGATGCCGTCTTCTGGGTTGTAACATTCTGTAGTGCTGGCAGAAGTTTAGCAACATTTTAGAGGTCCTTGCTGTCCCCAACATCAGGGTGATGATGGATTGCGCTGATGACAGAGACAGCGCGGACCTCAAATCCGATGTATTAATTCTTACATGTATTAACATTTATTATAAAATGTAATTCTTTGCAATTAATTATAAGCAGATTCATGGTGGTTTAGATAGTGAAATATATATAAAATATAAAAATGTTAAACTGTACAACAGTGAGAGTGTGATGATGGGCTAATGGCACAACAATTTCAGAATGTTGTGCTTTGACTAAATTGAAAGTGCTTTACCAGATGATGAAGAACTATAGCAATGTAAGAAGTAAGCACTTCAATCCAGAGAAACATCTCGAGCAATCAAATGTTTGTGCAAAGCAAAATGACCAAGGTTCAGAGGAAGCTTTCAAACTTTAATGTATTTCAGTGGGAACTTGTTACTGAGTGGTCAGAGGAACTAACTATACTAAATTTGATAAAATGGATGTGTAAGTTAAAATTAAAAATAAGAAAGTAAATACGTGATGTAGAAATTCATCCAAATTTTCTTAATTGCTGATGTAATATTCTGTACTGGCCCCACAAGTCATCACACTGCACTGAATAAATAAAACTTTGCCTCAATTTTCCAAATGGACTGGAAAGAGGACAGACAGGTACTAAGATCAACATGCAGACTCCACAGTCATAAAGTAATGCATTGTCCTTACTTAAACTAAAAGTAAGAGAAGACATAACTAAAATCTGAGAATGTACGAGAAAAAAAATTCCACTTTGAATTTCATCCACTTACATTTCACAGCCATCAAAGTAGCTAATGTCAGTGCAAATAGGCAGAGATCCTGCAGCTGTCAAAGTATGCCAATGATTTAAGGAACATTAGATAAATCAAGTTTAAAGATCGGTTAGAAGTCATTATAAAGACACTTCACTCAAATATTATCCAATTTTGCCATTTTAAAACATAAAACATTTTATGCCCACATAAACCCTGGGGTTTCAAGATTACATAACCTTGACAACCATGACAAATGCATTCTCTGTTAGGATGCTAGCCAATTTAGCACATACCACGAATACATAAATGAAAAGCCACATTTAACTACGGATGTGGGTGAAAGGAGGGAATGATAAGAAACACATATGAATGCTGAGAATGTGAAGGTTCGAACAACTTCTTATTGTACGCACATGCTATAAGGTAAGGGGCAGCACACTCACCCCTCCAGCTGGACTTAACGGGACACGTCACGGTATGGTTTGAGATGAGATACGCGTTGAGCGTAGTCAGGCTTGGAGACTTGCGCAGTGTGTCCTCATCATTCTTCCACACATATGAGATAGCAGTCTGCTCATATGAAACTGATTTTAAAGAAAATTGCATCTTAGGTTCTCATTACATTGGGCTTATGAATGCATTAAGCCATATTACATTAATAGTTATATCACTGGTGGTCAGTTAGAAGGAGGGTTTGAAGATAATAAAAATTACCTTTTACTTAAATCTGTAACAAACAACAAAGATACATTAGTCCAGAAGAAAATGGAAGAAGTTTACATCTGAAAGATGCGCAAACTAGACTAGCTTCTGGAGGACAATGTTCCTTGGAATTAATTTAGTCTGTCGCACAAAATAAGTAGCAAAGAGAAGAATTATATCTCCAGGAGTTTACATTATTCCAGTTCAAGGTTTCTCATTTAAAATTCCATTTTTTAAGATTAAAAACCCACACTTATTGATTTCAAATTATAATTGTATCAGGATTAGAATTTCATCATCTGCAAGAGAAACCTCAAACAATAATTCGAATGTGTGTCATATTAATATAATTATTCCCATTCCAAGTAATAATTAAAAATACAGAATGGGTACTGGAACCGTGCAAAAATATTAACCCTGTATTTTGTGGAATTACAACGAAGCAGGTCGCAGGATTTTAACACGAGCCCAGAATCCGGACAACATTTCATGTAGACCATGCGGACCACTTCAATAACATAAAAGACACAACAGTTTCAAGGTTGCTGCCTCAAATTACCAAAACGTGCAAATATATTTTCAAAACACGAAATAAAAAATGCTAATATAAATTACATATGACTAATAAACTTCAAACTATTAACAAATACAGAACCACTGAAATCAACTTTATTAATATATTAAATAAAAATATAAAAATACTTTTAAAAAAACTGTATTTTGTGCCGGAGAAGGGTAGGATAAACAGCGAATACTCGATACTTACTGCTTTCCATGGCAAACGAGCACTGAGGATCATCAAATGGGAATATATGCAGGTGTCCTTGGCATGAAAGGATTAGGTGACGACTGCAAATAAAAAGCAGTGAAAAATCAATGAGGCATCTCACCCTTTAAAATTATGCAGAGGCATTTCATAAAATTTAATGCATGTTATCATCTCATTGTGTATTTGAACTTGGTAAATCAATAGATCGAGGTAGAAGAAGATGGACTACTCCACATTTTGAAAACATGCAATAATCAATAAATGCCCGACTCTTGCGTATGTTTCATTAACGTGAATTTGCTTCAATGAGATCGAAGAATCGGTAAAACCTGTTTGTGAAATGCAAACTTTTGCATATGCGAGTTTGCTCTTATGCAATTTCATTCCTGGCGCTTTAAACTTTCAAAGGACTAATTTAATCTCTGCGGAGGTACCGGGGTTATTTTTACTACTCGATTTTCTATAGGTCGGCGTCTTACATGAATGCAACTATCGCATAACAGCAGAGATGACTGTACACATCAATCACATGAAAGAATCTCAGTCAATCGCGGGGACCAACGAATTGCCAATTGTAAGCATATAAAATATATTTTTTAAATTCCCTTTATTTTATTTACGTTATTTCAGAGCTTTAAATGTAATTCCATTATATTACTCGTCAATGTTTGGGTGCTGGGAAGGCATGTCATTGAATTCCCATTAATTTACATTATAAAAAATTTTCAATTTACGCCGATTCGGTTTACGCCGGTGAATCAGAAGCGATCTGTATTCATAATTAACAATTATAATAAGGCCTCAATACTCAAATAAAACTTAATTTTATCAGGATATATTTATTATATTTTAAATATTTAAATGTTAATTATAGTAATATTTTAATATTTAATAATAATATTTTATTGTGATTAGACTGATAAAATTGAACAAGTATTTATCAGGATATATTATAAAAATCTAAACCTGGGAACGATTTACAATTTTAATCATCTTACATGAAGACTGTACGAGGAAATAGTCAATATAATGAACAAATCAGAACAAATGCTGGTGAAATATTTAGAAGTTACGATACAAATTACAAAAATATCTGATGACTGATTATGTTGACTCGTACCGCATAAGATAAGAGACAGTTCCGTTGCGGTAGATACGGAGAGCAAAATGAACGGGAATGAGTGGATCCTTGAAGTCTCCGTGCATAATGAAGTACGTGTCTGGCAGCCAGATGTCGTTGTGGTGGTGGATTGCATTGAGAAACTCGTATTCGCTCTTGTTGGAGTACTTGAGGCGTGGGTCAAACCACTGCTGCTGCAGAAGGAACTCCACTTCATATTTCTGCAATACAACATGCAAATGACCACAGTAACCAACCACCAACCACCAGGCTATAAGTGAGACATCTTTATTGAATTGAAACAGGGAATTTAAACGTCCAACTGTGAAGCCACTGGCTGACTTAATTTTAAAATTAATGATTTTGCAGGATGTTACTGCAATGCGTGACCGGTCGGACCAAAAACGGTACACGGGTTCACTATTTTACAGGCATGTGATCATTAAAAGTTGAAAATTACTGCCTTATAGTAGATTTAAATCATAGGAATGATTACATTTTACAAAAAAATGGAAGTAATATAAAGTCTGTGCTTACCAAACTGGACTCATCTGGAGAAGCAAGACTGAGAAGGAGAACGCTTACATTTACTCTCAAGGGTCCTCCTGAAACAATAACAATGCATAAAAAATACAGTGAATACACAAAGGAAACAAAACATGTCGTGAGTTTCTGCTAACTTCCAAGCAAAATCTTAACCAGGCAGTCTCATTCAACTTCGAACTCAAGAATAAATCTTTACCTTACGGAACAACCATGTCTATGTGTTTGCTTCGGATTTAAGCTGATTTTAAGATAAAAAAAAAGTAAAATGACAATGCTGCATATATTTTATCTACAGTAAGTAAAAACTTCAAACAATTTATTATAAACAGGAACAAAGAAAAATAACCATTCACATAATACGAGGTAGAAATGAAAATGTAGATACAAATTAGAGACAATTCAGACTGTACGCATAATAAAACTACTTATCTTATTAAAAGACTGCAATCTTAACTTCTGAAATAATGTAATTTCTTCAATGGTTTTGGACCTGCACAAACAAGTATTGAAATAGGTCATAATTCAATGCCAATTTTCAATGTTATTCGGTGTTATGTTGTAGTAGATGAAATATGTCACTTTGCTTCTGTCCACGAACAACAAATTCACAAGGAAAGAAAACAAATGCAATTTGAAAAAATAGTGAAAGATTAACATTTGCAGCATCCACAGAGACATTGTTTATTCAAAAAACAAAAATTTTGCTCAAATGCTTCAAAATGGTTCAACATACGCAAATGTGCACAACATAAACTAATTCGCCCTTCTCTTATTGTACAGCAAACATTATCAAGAACATGGACTCGCACTTGAAGAAAACTTCAGACATTCACAGGTTTCTTTTTGCTAATAAATAAGATGTTAAAAACAAAACTTATAATTCAATCGTGTGTCAGTCACTTAAGGAAGGCAGATATGCGAATATAATAATTTTAAAATATTCAAGTCTTTGGTTACAATTGAATACACAATATCACCTTTCTCTGGTTCCCAGAACAGAACTCAAAAGTGTATATCTATAAAAAAAATTAGAATTTTAAAGGTTCTCAAACAGCACTTAATGCATGAAACTGCACATACAAATACTAAGACTTTAATTTTTATACTCATTTTAAACAGAGACAAAGAATAGAAATGTATGAAGATTTCCGTCTTCTGGGTTGTTGCGCTGTGTAGTCTGGTCGATGTTAACCAACGTTTCAGAGGTCATACTGCCTCCGTCATCAGGGCACCCAGAAGATAGGAATCTTCATACTCATCGCCCTGATGACAGAGGCAGTATGACCTCTGAAACGTTGGTTAACATCGACCAGACTACATAGTGCAACAACCCAGAAGACGGAAATCTTCATACTCTGATGACGGAGGCAGTATGACCTCTGAAACGTTGGTGGAACTCGACCAGACTACACAGCGCAACAACCCAGAAGACGGAAATCTTCATACTCACCGCTGTGATAACCTCAAGTCTTAAATATAAATGTAATTAAAAATTAGCGCTATAAATATCTGACTCTTATCGACAGAAAAATTAGGATAACAACATTTAGCTATGAAACAAAAAGTCTAGTAAATTCTTGTAAATAATAAACACGTAATAACATTTCATGTGATGGGAGAACTGCGTTGCTCTATTCTTTTCATCTGTAAGGACAAACCGTTTTCACATTCCGATTAACATTAATTTGTTACCAAACACAAGACAGCTCCATGTAACTCTGAAACAAAAGTGCAACACAAACGTAACAGAAATGAGTGCTCGTCACAACAACCATGCTGCACGCCCACAGAAAAACTTCCTCTGTCTATAAGTTAACATGAGTGCAATACCTCAAATTCAGCAACGACGTTTCTTTCCCCATATAAAAGTTAATTCATCACGATGCTTGTGTTCCAATTGCATGATTCCAACAATAAACAAGAGGTAACCAAACAAACATCAATTAATGTTGCAATAAGATAGTGTAGTTGCGTCATATTGTGATTTATTAAATTAAAATTAAATTATTTGGTTATTCCGTCAAATCACAATGTATTTAAAATAAGATAATTAAAACAATTAAAATATCATTCTGTGTTCCATATCGAATAATTGATTTACAATTTTAACAGTTACAACATGTTTCGGTTTTATTAAACCATCATCAG